GAAGGAAGCATTTATCCCAAGAACCTTCAATATCCTTCCTGGTCTGAATTTCCCCTTTAAGTGAGGTAAACAGAGATCCACTCCATAGCGTGGGGAAGACTACATATAAACCCAAAAAACAGCTTATTGACATAACAAGCCATACAAATGCTGTCACAGTTGAGTGGGGGGTGGGGGAAGGATGCACCCTTCAGGCAGTTGAAGGTATGTATGATCTGTTCCAACCTAAAAAGCAAATTTTCTTTGCAGTAGATTTTGGTAGATTTCTAGCTGGTTTGAACGTTTATGTTGTCAATAGTGAAATCTACCCTACCTGAAATTCAAGTCAAAGACAACTATGTCATATGAACTTTTTTGGCCGGCCACTGAAACAGAAAACAGAGTGGATCTTCAGAAGGTCTAGATGTAGCTGACTATTGGATTAAGGGAAGAAAATGTTAAAGGTTTGTGATCCTAAAAATATACCTCTGTCGCATAGATCAGTTGACAAGTGAACCATCATTCATCCTGTTTGGAATGAAGTGCCTTTTTGAGATGGCAACAGTTTCTGGGACTTAAGAGAACCAGGTGATGGGCACCTCCTTTCTTCCTCTTTTGGAGAAGCAAGGAGGCTATGTCATGGGCACCAGCTATAGCAGCATCAGAATTTGAGGGATGACAGGATATAGAGCAAGCAGCCTCCCCTTTCTTACATCTGTCTTATTAGGAAGCTGGAGGTGTCAGGGCCCTGAGGGCACCAGCGGCCCTTATGGCCCTGACCAGGCTCCCCTTGGGGCCTCCACCACTCCCTGTCCATGGCCCAGGAGCCCCATTTCAGCTCAGCCTTGGGCCTTTGGTCACCTCCAAGCTGTGTTGTACATGTGCCTGCCTGCAGTCCTGCTCCAGCCCTGCCTCCTGGGTGGACCTTGGACCTACGCTGTACGTAGCTTGTCTCCCGGAAAGACCCTCCATTTGGGCTCTGTAGCCTTGTCTCTGGCTCCGACTCCTTGTGATCAACTCCCTGGATGGCCTCTGAACCTGGTTCATCACTCGCCTTGCATGGGGTTGTTGATGGACCCTGCTACCAGCACCTGGCTCTGCCCACTGTGTTCAGCCCACAGGGGACTGCGCCTGTCAGTGCAGGCACTGCCCACACTGGGGTCGCCCCCAGCCTCAAGTTTACCTTCCCTCAGGGACAGCCAGTCTTCACCACTGGTGCATAGCAACTGAAGGAATAGATTTAAATATCAATGGAAACAATATTCATCTCCTCTGACTGGTGAAGGGACAAGTCCTTTCTGGGAAGCCTTCCCAGTTTTCCATAATCACAACCTAAGTTGATTTCCAAGCCTTTAAGTATGGTCTTAGGACAAGTCTTGGCAGCTTCGTCAGTGCCTTAGCCCAGTAATGCATCAATAACTTTAATGCCAGACACAGAAAATATAATCTGAGAGACTAATACTGTTTTGTAATATATAGCACATGAATCATGAGCTGGGTTTCATTTTGCTGAAGAAGGTGAAAGAAAGGAGGAACATGTGCTCGCATTTACAGGAGAAAACTTAATGATAACACGTTACTTTTCCACATTAAAGTAGAAAAAAGCTCTTGATGTATTGAACACACCATTCCCCAACCACAAGACTATATTCATTTAAAATGCATGGCAAAAAGGGTGACAAGGGCCAGACATAGGCCATTCAACTGACAAATAGATGATGCATTTAAAAGATAGAAACTGTCCCTTTCACAGCACCCTATGTCATGCCCTTCTGTTTTGTAATTAATTTCTTGTCTCTGCTCAATAGTGCTCTAATTTCTTCACCTCCTAGAAGATCCTCAAAGTACATTTGGAGTTAAAACGAGTTAGTATGGAGGAAAGGATAACAGCGTTAGTAGGTGTTGTTATGCAGGCTAGCCTTATCTATGCCTTACACTTACAAGTGTTTACAATTCGAGACACTTCTCTTTATATATATATATATATATATATATATATATCTGTTATATACATATTTCTATTCATCTTTAAAATTCAACAGGCTCATCTTCAGGAACAGACAAGTCTTGAAAAAGATGCAAATAATAACTGGCAAAAATTCACCACTCTAACTTGCCAGTTCTCTTGAACTTCAGTCCAATAAACTGAAGTTTAAATAAATTAAGATGTTTAAGACCAGATCCTGTTTGAGCACTGGAATTTCTCTCTGTTGCATAAATGCTGCATGACAGCACCTCACTAATAAACTTAAATCAATCCTACAAGTTTCAGAGGAACTGGCTACTATACCCTGCCCCAGACAAGGAGATGAAGAACTAGTGAGCAAAGAAATGTTGGCAGACAAGCCTTTAACAGATCCAACTGGCAGGACAAAACAACACACAGGTAGGAACTGAGAAAAAGATATAATGGAAAAGAAATAATTTGTCCCTCTGTTTCAGCTATGACTGAATAGCGCTGCAAGAACATGTTAGCTCAGGCAAGGAAAGGCTTAGGTAAAGGCTTCCTGAAAAGTAAGCTGCTGGTATTTTGTGGCTCTCCCCTCCCTTTTTTTTTTTTTTTTTTTTAAATAATTTAAATGTGGAATATTCTTGGCATAGGCCTCTCCCTGCAGGAAACATTAAAATACTACTAACCAAAATGAAAGTATTGCTAAAACAGTGGCTGGATTAATCATGGGTAAGCACAAAGAAAGTCCCAAATTTGCTGTTAAATTAGTAAAGACAATTGACAGTTTCCAATACCTTTACTTTCATGTACAATCAAATGGGTTCTGCACGGCCTACCTGGCTATATATTCTACTTCATGGTCCCCTTTTAAGTAATTTTTCTGTACTTGGGTAATTAGACACAGTGATTAAGAGAGCTTTCATTTCATACCACTTTTTTCCTGTCAACTCTGTAATTTTGCTACCATTTCTACATTTTTGGTCTCTTTCCCCATTCCCTGGCCTTTGTATCAATGAACTCAAAGGTGCAGTGGCAGAAGGTTAGCTACGTATCCGATTTATTGTGGCCATACTTGAAATCAAACATTTGTCTCCCTCTGCTGTTCTAGCCTCGATGCCACGTATACACGGACATTAGTAGAATGCATAAAGCATACCATTAATGGTATCTTGATTCCTTCATTTAACATAAATATTCAATTATTAACTTCTCACACAAAGTGTCTATGAAATAACACAACTATTCAAGTTGGACAGGATGCTAATTTGTCATTATGCCCATTCTACTTCATCACAGATTTTTGTATAATTTAATCTGCTTCTTCTCTTGAGTTTGCAAAAGTACTCCTGGCTTCTACTACCATTCTATTCCCCATAATATTTTATTACTAGTACAACAATCTTTGCCATGTGTTTCAAGTTATTTTTGCTCCTTTACTAGTCTCTGCAGATTGTAGCTGTACAGTTGACATCAACAAGGTTACAGGAGGCAAGATTTATTATTTGAATCACATTGGCAGAGCAAGCTATGAAAAGAGGGGCACACTACACAGGTCCTACTTCTTTTCTGACCCTCTGAAAGTCTTTTATCTGACCACTGCCTGAAGGTCCTTGTCTATACGTCTCCAGAATAAAATCAGGGCTAGGGCTGAATGAAAGAGAAAAATGTAGAGCTGCAGTGTGAGTGGGGCTGGCAAAGGGCCGGCAAAGGAAAGCAGGGGCTGCATAGAGACCTGCGCTGGGAGAAGTCTTTTGTCTGAGCAACAGTGGCAGACTTGTCTATGACTTCCCAGGAAAATAAGGATTAGGGTTCAGCTCTGGGTTGAGAGAAAGCATAAGAGCTGCAGCATGAGTAGGGCGCAATTCCTTTTTTAGTATATCCACCTTTCCTCACTACCTGAGTTTCAGCATCAAATACTAGTTCTATGCGATTTCCTTTTTAAAAATCCAGCCTTCTTGCATAGAAATGCACTGCTCCATGTTCCTTGCTCATATGAAGCAAGCTGCGATACCCTTAAAACTGAGAACACTCTAGGCATCCTGGTGAAAAGGTATTTCATTCTGACTTCTCCAGCACGGACACAAAACCAAATCATTTCTGCTGTTTCCAAGCCAAGACTGCAGGTACCTTTCATTTGAGGCAAGACATAACCACATCACCCTTCTTCTATAGCACTGACTGCAGAAACTTCCACTCTTAAGACGGGATTGGCATTTTCAAAGTATTGCAGCAGCTGAAAGCTATAAATGTCACAGAAGCTTGAATCTCTGAATTTTGCATTAGGCGCCCAGACAGGACCAGTGCTTTTTTGATACATTAGAGTACAGTATTCGCGTATACGTCAGTTCATTACCTAACAGTGCTCTGTAAGAATTACTTTCCCTCACTATTCATCCAGATAGAACTGAGGGAAAAAAGTAGGACTCCTTCCCCTCAGCACAGAATTTAAACCAATCCGATATTTCTATTTTTAATTACATTTATGATATTCCCTGTGGGCATAATTCATGAGTGCAGTTCCAGCATGCTGGGAGTAACATAAATATAGTCATTCCCAAAGGGAACTTACAGCTGTTATGCATGGGTCAGAGATTCTGTGAAATGTAAAATGTGAAACTAAAAGCTTTTTAGCCTACTTCCTTCCCATTCCTTTTCAAAGTCAGTTAATGGATACCAAACAACATTGCCCCAAATACTGCCCACAAGTTATGCAAGTAGTAAATCTATTTAAATAAAATAATATTTAGCAATAAGCAAACACCTCTTCCTATCTCACTCAGGAATTGCATCAGAAATTCCCTCCTGATCCAAATTAACTGTGTTGCCGCTTTATACTGACAACTGTGTGACTGAAGACGAGCAGCGTGGAGTTGCTTCCTCTGCAAATCATCCTACGCGGGGAAGGAGGAGTATAGCTTTATATTGTTGCAAACACACCTAGCTTCCTTCCTCTACCTGACTCTTTGCTTCTTATTTTGACATGAGACCGTTTAAAAAGAATTAAGTGAGCTTTTCCCTCACTAAATCTGGAGACGTCAGCCCACAGAAAGTAAAAAGATTCTGCACTTACCTCTGATCACAATCAGGGGAAGGAAAAATATTTATCAGCTGCTTCTCTCTTAGGAGCAACGTTCTGTTTTAAAATAAATAAAAAAGAAACAAGACTTTAAACAGTGCTTCTCTCTCCCTTCCCTCAAGTTAGCCTCCATCAGTGTTTGTAAACATTTACTTAGCAGGAGCACCTTCGCTCTCCAGAACCAAGGTAATGATTACATTACACTAACGGTGGCATGAGGACACAGCAGGGCCGCGACAACAGCCCTGTTGGCACTGACCAGACGGTGACGCAGAGTTGCACTTCAGCAGGCTGGATTGTGCAAGAGTGAGAAAGAGTGGGCTGAGATGAGAAATGACAAGTGCAGAAGAAAACCAGGAACCTGGATTTAGAGGTAAACCACAAAGAATAAAGAAAGTTGACAGAACAAGCACATGTGGTACAAGCTGAGAGAACTGAACAAGCAAGCGGAGTCCTAATGGGATTTCTCACATCTCTTCATTAATACTGTTGCCTTTGAAACAGCCAACAAAGCAAACTACAAGACGCTGCTTCTTTATTCTTTGCTACAGCTTAGTCGGTTCAATAAAACTTCAGCTGTGTGACAAAGTCTGTGCAGACTAGTGCCAAAGCATATAAAAGAGTCAGGACCATTAGGCATCCTGTGAAACAAAAACAAACCACCAAAGGCCAGAGCTACACCCTTCCTCCACCCCTCTACCTGGCTAGTGATCACACAGATGAAGGCACCCTGTGAAGCTAACTGAAGCTCAGGAAACTCCAGTGTATGTATGCACACACACACACACACACAGAGCAGCGTGCCAGTATGAGAACCTTCAACCGAGCTGATGAAACCCAGAGAGCCAGAGTAGAACAGTGATGGGGCCGAAAGGCGAATTTTATCATACAGCCTCTCAAGGCTGCTCTTCTGCACCAGCTCTCTCTCAGATGCACAAGCACTCTGCTGTAGCTCTCCCGCTCACAGAGGCCTTGATTCAGCAACAACTCTGACCTTTGAGTTTACCAATAATCTTTAATACCTCTGCAGCCGATTAGTAAACAAATAAGAAGCACACTTGTGCTGTCAGTAAATATAACCAAATCTTCCCAGTTTCTTCCTACTTAAACTGCAAATTTACAGCAGGAGCCAAGCTTCACTGTTTTCCAGGAGAATCAGAATGATGGTTGCACCACATAAGCATCAGTTCAGAAAAATGTACCTGCTTTTCCTCAGCCTTCCTCCATATACAACCTTCCTCCTATTTTGATCCAGAATCGTTACGTATCTTCACAAGTTTTAAGAGTTTTAAGACAGACTGAGTTTTAAGAAGGCAGAAAGAAAAAGCCTGCATCTCTGGCCTCTACAAATCCTAACACATCAGGGTAAACATCAAGAGAGTCAGACACGACAGCGAAACAACTGCAACCAAACCACAAAAGGGGTGAATGTTTGTCGTCACTGTAATAAATAAACAAATAAATATTTTTCACAGAACCATGACTATCTGATGGAACCCACTGAGCAAAACAATCAAATTAGGAGGTTTATTATTATTAATACTGTGCTACTGCATAAGACCCTTACATGTCTACTGCCCCCCAGGGCAGTGGGCAGGACCCAGACAAGCTGACATACCAACTTCCAATTAATGGGATTTAACCCAAGCTCCCCTCAGGGCAAGCTGTCCCCTGACTTTCCACTACAAAGTGTCTTGTGCCTTCTGATGCCAACTGTTTCCAAGGTGAGGACTTGGACTAAGATGGAGTATCACACTGGTCTAGCCATTTTTACTCTGCAGAATACAGCAGACATGAAAAAAACGAAAAGCACCAACCTAATCTAAGCAGATGACAGTCCAAGACCATGAACTCGGACATGGCAGATCACAAATGCAGAGGACACATGCAAAGAGGAACATGGGTTACAAATCAGTTTTTCTTCAGCTTTTAAAAACGCAACTTCCCCACACTTATGGAAGCTTGGAAAAAGTTGCGTCAGTGAGGAAAAATGACTCTGGTCCTTCTCAGTCCCACAGTTTTCCGCTAAGGCATGTCACAACTGACAGAAGCAGAAGTTAACAGGGCAGGGTAAGAGGAGAGGGCAAAATTAAACACCAGTTGAATGGGGTGACGAGAAATTTAAACTGAATGCAATAATGGATAAGTAGCCAGTGACAAAATACACAGAACAGAGTGATACTACCCAAAAGACAGATTTTTGCACCACTGGTATATGGCTAGAAGTGGTCAAATCTGATTGTAAGATTTACCATTTCAAATCTACCATTATAAGATCTATTATTTTAAAGGATCTTATGCCAAAGGGGTGTTTAAAGCAAAACTAAGGGATGACGCTGCTGTATTTCCACAGAAAGCTGAGTTGAGCGGTGAAAATAATGCCTAACAATTTTCCATCTCCCTCCCCCATACGTACTCATCTATCCATGTTGTCTTGTGAGCAGCAACCAAATGTGTATGCTTGGAAAGCCCCTAGCACAAAGTGCACGTTCCCACTATTATCAACAGCTGCTAGACAACACCTTCCAAGCACTCAGCTGGGAAGGGAACGATATATTTCATCTCTAGGCATCAAAACATTTACTAATGTAATGAACCTCTTGGAAAGATGTCATTAACTCTAGGAGCACCATATCTTTTCCTGTGTTTGTATTTAGTCAAAAAATTTACCAGTCCTAACAATAGAGTGAGAAAGCTGTTGTAGCAAGCAGGCACCTGGCCAGGTTGACTCCTGAAGGAGCTCCTGTTAGTCAGGGGGTGTGCCACGGGGAGACTTGATAAGAAATGACATTTGTATTCCTGACAACTTTATTTCTTAAAACACCAGCCAAACTGGAAGTTTCATTTACTACTCTGGAAAAAAGGCCAAACCTGAATGTAACAGATGCTGTCTGGAGTGCTCATGACACATAGGAGACTCTGTGTGTGGTCCCCCTCACTATTACAAGATAAATCAGCTTTCTAAAGAACGAGAAGGTTGGTTAGTTTTCCTAAGCCCTGAAATCTTAATATTTGCACTAATCAAATACAACAGGGCCCACTTAGTCAAAAGAACAGTATCCATATGGGAGCCCAAACATAAGTAGCACTATTTTCCCACAAAGATTTAATCCTCAGTCTGGGCAAACGTTCCAAATAGCACTGGACAACAACTCTACTTTATATGGCTTTTTAGTAATTATATCAGAGAAACAAGGCAGTTCTGAGCACCTTAGTTCAAGAAGAATTAAAAAAAAAAGAAGAAAAAACCCAGAAGCACAGTGAAAATACATAAAGATAAAGCAACACATTGAGAAAACACAAAAAGTAGCTCTATACGGTCTAAATATAAAAAGATTTACAGGACATGGACAAAGAGTAGAAAGCCCTGCTTAGTAAATGGGAGAGATTTTTACTTAATTTCCGTAAAAGAATAAAGCTGAGAATAAGAAACACAGGAAGAAAAATACATGAGGTTTGCATTTCTTCCTGGATAGCACATACCTCACAAGGTTGCTGAAAGAGTTGTGTGGCTTTACAGCTCAAAGCTGCACAAAGACCACACAGGCCAAAGGCAGGTGGGATACACGGTGGGTCGAGGAAGGAAGGAACAGGAAAACCAAACAGGAAAAAAAAGGGGAAAACATACATAGAGAGAGAGGAGAAAAAAGGAGCAGAGCTATGTGGGAAAGTGAAATTAAGGAGTCGTTACCAGGAAGAGTCACTGTTGGGAAGTGCAAGTGCTCAAGAAAGGAGCACCATGGAGAAAACTGCATTCCTTGCCACAATCTCCAAGGAAGTGAGAGAGAAGGAAACTAGGCAGCAAGGATATGTCTGAAATAGTTAATCAGGGATACCTGCCATCCAAGTGGATTATTATTATTTAACACATGTAGCTCCTCTATGGCTCTTTTATGTGCATCCAGCAGAACTGGTTTGAGAAGGGAAATGGTTTGTGAGACCTAGTGAAGCTGTTAAACGGATGTGTAATCTTGTAAGGGGAAGGCAGGATTATTTTCAAAGTTCTATAAATGATCTCTTAACTTATTCCCTTCCCTCTCGTATGATGGGTTGCCTTCACTGTAAGACACTAAAGAAACTTTTTAAACAGAAAGTTACGAGAAAGGAGCAGCATCAATCAGACAACGTAGAGCTAACGGCTTCGCGTGTCCCTTGTTCAGCCAACGCACTACTACAGATCTTGCATGTCCTTCTGCGGCATCATCTTGTCTGCAGACAATAAAGATAAGCCTTCCTCCCTCTAAGCCTTTCACACCACGGATAGCATGTGGCAGGGTCCCAGCTTGCCATCAGCATGGCTGTGCTTGTTTGCACCTGCACTGCTCTGAAACGCCCACGACCCCGATGGCTCCAGCAGTCCTATTTTCCACATGGGTAATGCAGGCAGTCCAGGGTTAAAACCATAACGCTATCTGTCTTTGCCTCTGTCCTCTTCTGTCCTTCAGTGGCAGGTAGCTGTATGTCTCCCAACAAGTAAAAAAGCAAACCAATTGCCATCAAGGCCAACTGGGAAAAAGGGATCGGCTACAACCATCTTCCCAATGTTGCAGCCTAGCAACTAAAACCATGCCAACTTTGCGATAAGACAAGAAAAGCTGAGGAAAAGGGGAATGACTACAGTCAAAATATTAAGAAAAAGATCTCTGCTTATTCTCTTTCTCTTATTGCTCTCAAGATGCAGGTGGGAAGGAAATAGCTTTCTCAGCTGATGAACGTCCATTGATACTGGTCTCTTCTTTTTGGTCTTGTGGAAGGAAGAATCAGGATCTGTGCATTAGGCATGCATCTCAACAGAGTGGCAGTTCCCATCCTGCCTCAGAGCCATGGCTTTCCGACAGCAACACTCCCACTGAGATGCTGGCGCTGGGCTGAAGGAGCAGAATTCTCTGCCTTTGAACCTTTCACCTTTGTTCAGACCGTTTACACAGCTCTGCTTGTGGCTTGCTCAGGCTGCCCCCTTCCCATGCCACTCACAATTAATAGCATCCCAAAGAACTAGAGGTCCTAACTTGGTGCTAGCCTTTCCCTCATCTTAA